GCACAGCTCTAGTGAACCTGCCTTCACAGCTGGATGACGTGGCTCACTTAACACTATACATCTTACTGTTTTCTTTTTTATTTTCTTGAAGGCGTGAATGCCTATTTAGAGTTTGCATTACCCCAACAGCAGCCCCAGTGCTATGTTCTAGTCTCAGCTATGAAGTCCTGCGATGTGACGTCATCAATAGAGAGCTACGCTTTGTAGCTGTTTGGAAGGGGTTCTGGTTACCAAGGGGCTGACTTTCAACACAATGCCCTGTCAGTCGGGGATGCTTGCTACACAGAAAATCTGACCCATTTACTCAGGCAACAAGGTTACGTTCCCACCCTCCCTCCACCACCTTTAAAATAAACACACAAGAACTATTTACAACTGTAAAACTGTACATTCTAAACACAGTCTACTTCACTTGAAATCAAAAGTTATTTATTGACTATAAAATATGAGATATGCATCTAGTAAAAAATGTGAAACATCACCTACACTCCTACAGTTATTTGGTATAGTTAAATAAAATGGAGCATGTGGACCTATTACCATGTGCTCCATGCCACACTGCAGAAAAACTGAGTCAGAAATGTTTAAATATCAAAAATCATTAACACTTAGATTGCACTTACTCCAGAAATGAAGGGCTGAGTACCTGAGGTCAGTCCCAGGTACTTTATGGAATACTTCCGACAAGCCTCATCAGTGTGGATTTCAGAACACTGAGCCATCAGTGCTGAGAACGTCAGTCCAGCCTGCTCAAACTTGACTCAAACTTCAGAGTTCAACACCAAGTGCCTACACCCCACCCCTCCTGACACCTCAGGGAATTCAAGTGTGTAAGCCATTTTTACGGCGTGGTTGGCTGTAAACAACTCCTGAGCTGGGGAAGGTATCTGCAGAGGGCAAGTGAGTCGTTCGCAACCCCATTTCATTTTTAACTCAGTTTACTACAGTTCAATTTGTAAACAGACTGTTATTTTGAATAAATAACATATAATAATATTCAAACTCATTTACGTAAGTACCATTAAGGTCATCCAATGCGTAGAAGAATTTTTACTCACATAACAAAAATTAGGAAGAAGCCACATTCATTTAGGGGGACAAAGGTCTAGATTTCAATTCCACATATACTATAAAATAGTACTTGAAAAAAATCAGTATCTAAACTATACGAGAGACCCTATTTCAAAACAAGAAAAGAAAAATCAGTACAAGTTTCAAAAAAAAAACCAACTATTTTACATAGGACACACACCCAGCCTGGTGTTTTCTTGTTTGTCTGTTTATTTGAGATAGGGTTCCTCTGTGTAGCTCTGGCTGGGATTAAAGGCATGTAGCACTGATTGGGATTAAAGGCATATGCCCACCATCACTACCACCACCTAGCACACCACAAAGCATTTTTAAAAATTCAAGTGTGATCAGATAGTGGCTCTCACCTATAGCCCTACTAGTCAGAAAACTCAGACAGTAGAACTACTTCAAACCCAAGGCCAGCCAGTGAGCTCCAGTGAGATCCGTCTGCCTCAAATTACAAAATCAGAGTGTATACCCAATAAAATAAATTAAAGCACAAACTTATTTTCTGGCACAAAGAAATTTACCATCTAAACAGCATGCTTAAATTTCTTCACAGCCTTTTTATAGTCTTACTTTATTTTTTGAGAGGTTTTTATATTTTTATAGTTTTTTTTTTTTTAATATTGAGATAGGATCTCACTATGCAGCCTTGGCTGGCCTAGAGCCCTCCACGTAGACCAGACTGGCGTCAACTCACAAAAATCCACCTGCCTTTGCCTTCTGGGTGCTGAGATTAAAGGCATGTGCCACCATGTCTGGCCCTCATGGCCTTTTTAAAGCTATTGTATTTGGGTTCCCTTCATTTCAAAGCCTCAGAAGGTAAACTTTAAACTTTCTATTTAATAAGTATGACTATGTACACCAAGATAGAAGAACCATAGCCAGTTATAAAATAGCTAATTTCAAATGAATGAGGCTTTCATTTAATTCCTGAAGGTTTTAGTTCTAGATTAAACGTCCACAGGGTGGCAGTGCCATAGTCTTTACTTGGTTACTGAAGCCAATTAGTAGTGTTCAAAATGCGACTCACCTCAGAAACACACAGAGATGCGCAGTAACAGTGAGAGCAAAAACGGCCTGCTCTATCGAAAAACAAAATCTGCACTTCATTTCCCCGTTTCTCTTTACGGTATTTACTTTCCGACGTCTCAAATGTTTCTGCAGCCAAGCTGTGCCACCCTCCTTAGTTAGGGGAGACCGGCAGCAAGCGGAGAAACTAGCCCGCCAGTGGCCCAGGGAAAGGGAACGCACGGATGGACAGCACAGACACTGCTCTCCAGCTGACCCTGCACAGTGCCATCAAATTAATTTCATTAGCTCATATTACCAGAAATTCATTTTCCTAGCAAAGTAAATTCCTTTGGCCCCAGATTCCAGAACTTCTCAAATTTTCCATGTCAAAAATCCAGAAGATTCCCAGCATGGACTGTTTTCAACAGCCTTTATAACTTGGCTTTCAGACAGGCAAATGCTTCCTGGACACTCACAGATGCCATGCACTGCTCCAAGTCTGGAGATAAAAGGGAAGTAAGTCAAAGTCCCCAGCTCACAGTAGCATTGCTGACAGTGCAGGGACAGGGCAAAGCCTGCACTCCACAGGTAGGTGATGAGGTTCCTCCACAAGTGTAACCCTAAGAAACCCTAGAGGCCAGAGGCCGAGCAGGGTGGGGAGGAGACAGCAGAATGCGCCAGAACTCTGGCATCACCCCCCACTGGCCCTAATCTATTTCTGCAGTCTTGTTTCCCACTCCTATCCTGCTTGTACCCACATTTGAGGCAAATGTGCTCGCGACTGTTAATGTGCTTCTGCCCCTGTCTGCTTCCTCCACACGCCTGGCCTCCCACCCCATCGGAATCAGGACAGCCTGGCTAGCTATCTCCAGTATCCTTCTCAAAGGCTGCTTCCTGGGGGGTGGGGCATCCCCCTCTCAGACAGAGGAGAACTTTACAGACCTTTAAAGACTTGGGACACGTTCCTCACACTGCACTGAGGACCCGACAACTTTCATGGGTTATGTAGCGTGCGCTGCATTACTAGAACCATCTAGGAGTCATACTTTTCACTTAGCAATTATTTCAACATAACTTTAAAATCGGTAATGCCTAACTGGCAATCATATTTAGATAAAACAGTCCATAGGCCTTTTTTTTTTGCTTCAATCTTTTTTAATAGCTTTGCCACCATGTAACAACTACTTAAGAAATAAAGTATACAATTCCATGCTTTTCTGTATATTTACAGAGTTGTGCAATCATGGATAAGATATAATTTTAGAGTCTTTCAGGTACCTTAAATATTAGCAGGGACCCTTTCTCCTGTCTCTCCTTTACTTCAAAGCAAGCACTAATCATCTTTTTATTAAAACTGTGGCATTTTATATGAATGGAATTCAAAACAAAACAAAACAGGGCCTGGCTGGCCTAGAACTCAGAGACCTGTTTGCCTCTAATTCCCAAGTACTAGGATTACAGGCGTGTGTCACCACACACATGGCTGCAAAGTGTGGTCTTTAATATCTGGTTTTGCAGGGCATCAGTCATGGTGATGTTCACCTTTAGTCCGAGCACTTGGGAAGCAGAAGTGGATAGATCTCTGCAAGTTCGAGGCCAGCCTGGCTTACAAAGTGAGGTCCAGGACAGTCAGGGCTGTCACACATAAATCCTGTCTTGAAAAACAAAAGAAAAAAATAATACCTGGTTTCTTTCACTTAGTATAATATGCTTGAGACTCGTTCACGTGTGGTATAGATCACCACATTATGCCTTCCCACTGTCAGCAAATATTCCTTTATACAGGTACACATTAACACCTGACGTGTCCTTGGGCCATTTCCAGTTTGTGCTTATCAGGAATGCTGCTCTGATTGCTTACAGGCAAGTTGTAGCTAAGGCGTATATTTTCACTTCTGGGGGCTTGTGTGGTAATCCTATGTTTACTATTTTAAAGAACTGCATCACTTTTCTAATTGACTGTACACTGTACGTCTGCACCAGTGTGTGTGTGTTCCCAGCTCTGTGCTGTAAACTGATCTCAGTATGCAATGCCCTCATCCTCATGAACTACTACCTGGATGAAATAAGATAAAATAAGCTGGGAGGGCGGGGATGAGAGGTGGTTCTGTGGTGCTCTCAAGAGGACCCAGGTTCGGGTCCTAGCACCTAACAGTGACTTACAACCATCCTAACATCAGTTCCAAGGGCATTCCAGAGGTTCTGACCTCTGTGGACATCCAGTACCATTCTGGTAGGTACACATGCACACGTGCAGGCACGATGCTCATACACATAAAATAATCTTGCTTAAAATTTTAAAAGGGGCCTGCGAAATGGCCAAGGCACCTGCGACCAAGATTACAACCCACGTCTGATCCCAGGGGCCACATGGTGAAAGTTTCAGAAAGAAACGGAGTCCTACAAGTTGTCCTTTGAAGGGGAGAAGGAAGAGAAGAGAGAGACAGAAAATAAACATTTTTTTAATTTTAAAAAGACAAACAGGTGACTGCAGTAAAAAGCAAACAAGGAAAGAAAAAAAATGAATGGGCAAACAAGGTTAATTAACCAGAAAATAACTCGAAACAGAGAGTCTAATGAATGTGACCAGAGAAAAGGCCTCTCGGAGAAAGTGAGGCAGACCTTAGACGCTGCGAGTTGAGAGCAGAAAAACAAGTATTGCATGATGGTGGTGTAGGCCTTTAGCCCCAGCACGCTGGAGACCTCTGCCCGAGGCCAGCCTGATGTACAAAGTGGGTTCCAGGCCAGTCAGGCTGTGACACAGAGAAACCCTGTCTCAAAAAACAAAAAACAAAGACAGAAACAGGGAAGAAAAAGAAGAAAGAAGATTCAGCGGCACAAGCAAGAATGAACCAGAAAGCTATGGTGGCTGGGACGCTGTAAAGCGGCGTAGGGCGGCATGAAGTGGGAGGATGGCAGAGGCATGGGACAGCGTAGTCCGTCGGGGCCTCCTACTGTTCGACAGTGCCAGCCGCACAGGTGCTCTCAGCCTCGCCGAGCCTGCTCCTGACAGCAGCAATGGTCAACAGGCAGCCTGACTGAATTAGTGCCCCTTGGTTGGTAAGCTATCTGTGGCCTAGAAGGGACGTTGTAGGCACCGGTGGCGATGGCTTTGGATTGAAAGACACAACCTAAGGAAAGACTCTTCACGGATTTACTGACTGTATCTTCCCAGCGACTCAGCAGTGATCAAGGCCCGGCAAAGGACACTGCAAACCACTCCCAGAAGTTAAATCTAAACTTCATTCTAAGTCTAATTAATCGCTTTTCTATTCTATGTATTAATAGAATATATTCAACTCCTAAACATAAAACCTACAGGTACAAAATAGTGCTTGAGTCTTTTAAAGTAACATTTCTTTTTATCACCTAACATAGCTACATTCCAGCTTTCCAAAGAGTCAAAGCTGGGTGTGGCAGAACACATCTGTTAACCTGGGCTAGGACAGTAAGAAATGAGTCTTACAATAACAACACAAACCAGAGATAGGAATGGTTTTAAATCTCTCCTGATATAAAAGGTCACTTCTTAATTGAAAGAACCTGTACCCTAGTCAAAACTACAGACTTTAAAGCCAAAGCTGACTTCCTATGAGCCTCCTAGTCCTAGGTTTCCCCCTACCTCAGATTTTGATTTGCATTCCTCACTGGGAGAAATCCAACCAGTTCTTCAGGGTGCAAGGCAAATACCGTTCTTGCCCTTCCCTGAGAGGAATCTCCACCTCACCTCCACGCTCCAGGAGCGATTCCACAGCTCTGAAGCTGAAACCCTGCCCCTGCCCTAAACTCACCCCAAGTGTGTAGTGTGCCTCCTGGCAATCATTTACCGTTCAGTTTCTGATAACACACATTTTAGTACCGGTCAAGTCCTTGCAGAAATTAAACAAAGGACGGGTAGGTGCCTTTTCTTCCAGACCTGGAGCGAAGCCTGAAGTCTTTAATGACACAAGGCATGGAACTTTTACATGAAAAATTTCTACTCCCATTACCTACTCGAGATCTATCTAAGCCGTGTGACATGGGCTGCTATGGAGAAACCAGCGGCTGTTGTGAGATTTGGAGCGCTTGTTGCTCCCGCAGAGATGGGCTTTGACTCCCCAGCACACAAACACTGTGGCTCAAAAGCATCCGCAACTCTAGTTCCAGAGGAACCGGCACTGTTCTTCCTCCTGGGCACCAGACACACACGTGATGCACATGCAGGCAAAACACGCCAACACACACAAAAAATTCTTCTTCTTTTTCTTTGTTTTTGTTTTGTTTTTCAAGACAGAGTGTCTCTGTAGCTATGGAGCCTGTCCTGGAACTCGCTCTGTAGACCAGGCTGGCTCAAACTCACAGAGATCCTTCTGCCTCTGCCTCTGCCTCCAGAGTGCTGGGATTTAAAAGGCGTGCACCACAACCACCCGGCACAAAAAAAATTCTTTATTAACATTTTTTTTTTAATTTAGTCAGGTCTGGTGCCACATGCCTATATCTGAGCACCGAAGCAGGAAGACCAAAGAGTTCAAGGTTATTCCACCACCACAGAGATTTTGAGGCTACCCTGGGCGACATGAGATGTCTCAGCCTTTACCCCCAGCCCCAGGAAGAATCTAAGACAGACCTTGAGGCACGTGCCTGTAACTCCACTGCTGGGAAGGCAGAGGCCTGATCAAAAACCCCAGGAGTCTGGGCTCCTAGTGAGTTCTAGGCCATCTTGAGCCACATGGCAAAACCATGTTTAATAATGACGATGAAGACAATATGACGCAGAGATTAGGGCTCTGAACCTATAATACACTGAAGGTCAAAGACCTCCGCAAGGTCCCGTGGCTAACCGCAGGAGCTAAAATGTGACTCTGTCCAACACCACCCACAAATCATAAGCGCCTGAACATCAGGAGCCTCAGAACATCTGGCTGGAGGCGGAGGGGGGGGCACCTAGAAATGGGTAAACACTTGGGTATTTAAGATCTTAAATATTTGCTAACGGGGTTTTCTACTTTTAATTTTTACGAGGAAGGGCTAATTGATCCTTAATCACACCGATCACATTAACAGTTATTTTCAAGTTCAGTCGTGCTGTAGTTAAGGCTATAAAATAGTTTGGGAACACACAAACAACCAAAACTTCTGCTTGGCAATGGCTCAGACCAGAAACGCATCCGCGGGAGTCAGTTTTTCCTTATTTGTGCCCAAAGGTCCAACAGACTAAACACTACAGCTGCCCCAATTTTCTCATTTCAACTTGCATTTAAGATAACGCTTTTGTTTTGTTTACAGCTCTGGGGCTGCTGACACAGCTGGGCCCCTTCTTTGTAATAAACACAGGGCTTCTATATTTAAAAGTACAGTACAACTTTGTTTTAACATCCCCTCCCCAGTCTCCGGGCTAATTTTCTGTCTTCCAAAGCTCCACCTCCACCCCATGATTTTTTTTTTTTTTTTTAATCAGTGACGCTCCCAACAGCCTCCCGGAAAGTGGAGTCTGTTCTTTAAAGACATCTCATCACAGTGGTATTTCTCCTCTCCGCAGCTTGTTGTACAGGGGGCAAAGAGATTTTCTGCAAAGGCCTCGTCTAGAAGCTGGGGTGCTGATGGGGGAAGCAGTGGACCCGGCTCCCGTGCAAGCAGCGGAGGGTCCCGGGGCCGGGCAGGCGACGGGGAGCGGCAGGGGCAGGCAAGCCCAGGGGGGTCTCGAGTCGCTGTTGGCAGTAAGTGGTGCACGGCGACCACGGCGGGCACGCCCTAGCCGGCCGGGTCGGAAGGGGGCGGCCGAGCAGGGTGTGGGCCCAGGGGGCACCCGGGGGGAGAGGGGGAGATAAGGCGAGGCCCGAGTTAATCATCACCTCCCGAGCGCCTGGAAAAGTACGAGCTGAGGGCGGGGGAGCAGGCGCGGAGAAAGCGAAACAACTAATGCACCGGCCCGAGCGCGCTCCCCGCGAGCCACCTGCTCGCCCCACTACCATCAACTCCACAGCTGCATCACAAACTCACCGGGCACCGACGCAGAAGTTAGCCAGAGCCCTCTGAAAACATAACCAGTTCCTCCAAATTCTAACAAGGCGAAAGAAAAAAAGGTAGAGCCACCGTTCCCATACCGGGAGTCGAACCCGGGCCGCCTGGGTGAAAACCAGGAATCCTAACCGCTAGACCATATGGGAAGTGCTGCCGAGAGCACCGCCGTTACCCACCTGACTAGCGTAAGCCAAGCGACCGCCTCAGCTGCCGTGCACGACTCCAGCCGAGGCCGCCCCCGCAGCCGCCGCTGTCCCACGCGCGGGAACGAGCCCGACGGAGCACGCGCGCGCGGGCGTGGCGGGAGATGGGGGTGGGGAAGGGAGGAGCAGCGGGCTAGCCGAGCCACTGGAAAGTTTTGAGGCGAAGCCCCAGCACCCCGGTGCCGGGTCCGGAACCGGTGGCTGCGCCTTTCTTTCTCAGCCCTCAGGTCCGGGCTGCTCTCCGGTCACGGAGCGAGCGGGCTAGCCGGCAAAGCCGAGGGCGGCGCCGTCTGTGGGAACAGCTGCGCGCGGCGTGGGGTAGGGTGAGGTGGAGGGGGCGGAGGCCGAGCTCCTCGGCCGCGAGCCAGCTTGAGAGTGGAGGTTCTGGATCCCGGGAGGAGCGAGGACCCGCGGGCGCTGGAGCTCGGCTAGGACACCAGCGGCCCGCAGCTCCGGTCCCGTCGCGCTTTCGTCCCTTCTGGGTGACCTCAACCCCTTTATACCGACCCCACCTCTCAGG